TTTGAATATCATTTTAAACCCATTTTTTGTCTTGATGTTCTTCTAGATTAGAACAGATACGGAGCAGTTGAACATAAAAAGTCGTCAGCAGGAACAGGAAAGTCAGGTGGCTTTAAAACAGCTGAAGAATCAACTGCAAGAGTGTAAGGCACAGACTCAACAGTATGAAGCCCAGGCTGATCACATCAGCAGGATTCTTGATCAGGTCAAAACAGGTACTAGCGGAATCAAAAACCCTGGACGAATCAAGACCACATTATCATATTGGAAGAAGAATATTACTTATATGAAACTTTTTTTATTCTCAAAATGAGCAGTTACCTGTCATTTCTAGGGTTAGACAGTATATTCAAAAAGATTGACTGCAACTTAGGGCAGATGGGAGGCATGCTGGGCTCTTCCTCTGGGATCACAGACAGTAATCTGATGACGTACCTCGGCATGGTGGAGCAGAAGGCCAGTGAACTGCTCACCATTCAAGCCTTCATTAAATCTAAGGTACAGAAAAGACTCCATTCACTCCAGCATACATTTAAAAGTGGCATATCATGAAAATCTGACTTTTTCTGTGTATGAGTGCTATAATTGGGTGCCCAGTGCATCTACCAACCCGGAAAATGTGGAAAAGAACAACCCAGTAATTTATTATTTTATTTTTTTGGTAAGCCTTTCTCTGCAACTTGTGAAAAAACGAGCTGCTCAGATTTAGCTCCCCCTGTGATGTAAAAAGGGGATCTTATTATAATATTACAGCCTCAGAGGAGACAAGAGAGCAGTGGATTTATTGATTTATTTAATGTATAGTACACTGCTGCCACACAGATCTAATATAAACATGTGTGTTTCTTTCCAGGCTGTTTACCTTCAAAAAGACGTAACAGACTGTATTTGTAACTCATGTGTGTTTTTAACATAAACTTGTGTGTATTTGATGGTTTAAGTGCAATAAGAGATGAAAGAGAACTTAGTTTAGTTACTCACATGTCGTGTGACAGCCGCTTTCTGTATGCGTGCTTCGGATGTGTTCACTCAGAAAAGTTAATATGGTTTAAAACGCATGATTTCAGCACAACAGACATGATAATCAAAACAAAACAGATGTTTTTTAGCAGAGTATCTGAGGTAAGAGCTGTAAAGGCACAGTCCTATAGACCAATTTGGAGTAGACGTCACAGTTACGTCACTTGCAGCTGCGCGCGCATAGTGGTGGCAGAAAAACACTGGGAACAATTGGAGGGAAACGGGTAAAATCCATGGAATAAGAGAAAAAAATATATTGTTGTGCCTTTGGATGTCAGAATCGGAATGCAAATAATTTTTATATAATACTGTCGTCAAAGACGCCATTTGAAGCAAAACGCAGCCGTTTAAACGGACAGACTATGGATGAAACCTGCTATGATTACTGTATTTTAAAGCATAAATTTGATTTAAACAATAGGTCTATATAATATTCATATAGGGGACATATTGTATTAGCCCTACAGTTGAAATACATGCATGAAATACTATTTAAACCTATAACATTTACCTCTTTTATTTCACAATTCTGACTTTTTTTCTTGCAAATGCAAGTTTATATCTCCTAGTTCGGACTTTATAACTTTATTCAAGTCAACAATTGCGAGTTTGTCAATTCTGAGGAAAAAAAGCCAGAAGTGTGGGATTATAAACTAAAGAGAGAGAATGACGAGTTGATTTTTCTTACCAGAATTGTGAGATGTAATCTCTGAATTGCAAGAAAAAAAGTCAGACTTTTGAAATTTAAACTCAAAATTATTTTTAAAATTATTTTATTCCATGGCTTGAATAGACTGCTACGTTAAAACTGTGATTTTCTGCCACCATATAGGCTCCGCCCACAAAAAACGTCATCACGGTTTGCGAACACTGAAATTGGTGTATTCCGGAAAAGGGGGCGGGGAGCAGCAGCTCATTTGCATTTAAAGAGACATGCACGAAAACAGCCTGTTTCTGCTTCTACTCAAAATAGGCATTTTCGACATGATAAAAGATCTGTGGGGCATTTTGAGCTGAGACTTTACAGACACATTCTGAGGACACCTGAGACCTATATTACATATTGTATAAATGGGCATAATTGGTCTCCTTTAAGATAATGTACCTACAGGTTATTTTTATAGCAATTTTGTGTAACTTTAACAAATATAAATAAGAAATACAAAGCTGTGCATTAGATTCTACTATGGTTAAATAAAAAGTATTGCAGGTAAAATACAAAAAAAAAAAAATCAACTCATTCCTCAACCCATTTTCAAAAAAATTTATAAAATAAATACAAATGTGTACAGAATACTCCCAAAATAGTCTAAAGGGCAACCATTGTACATTTAACTTGTATTTAAGTGCAAATCAGCATATTAGAATGATTTGTGAAGGATCATGTGACACTCATGAGGCTGAAAATTCAGCTTTGCATCACAGGAATAAATTACATTTGAAAATATATTCAAATAGAAAAAAGTAATTTGAAATTGTAATAATATTTCACAATATTGCTGTAGTTTTTAAAAAATATAAAATAAATACAGCCTTGCTGAGTATTTGAAAACCATTAGAACATCGTAATTATTCCAAACCTTCGACCAGAAGTGTAAATTTAATGTAAATCACACATGTTGACAGGACCCGGAGAACAGTTCTGACCTGGAAGCGGTTGCTCCGTTCCTGCTGGGTCAGAAACCAGACGTTCAGACACACAAAGCGATCGCTCAGCCACCCATTACCAAGTAAGAGCAGCATCTCACTTATTGAGCCACAGACACAAGATATGGAGATATTACACATAATATGTGAAAAATATGTGACTTTATTTTGTTAACACATGCTCCTGGTCTTATTGTGCATCATTCAGGCATGACTATGAGGCAGAGGACTCTTCTCTGATAGATGAGGCGGATCGACCTTTGACCCGCGAAGAACTCCGTCAGCACATTATGAGGAAGAGTGTAAGGAACACAGAAGAGCTCTTTCCTATTCTGATTTACCCATTAACTATGGTTGCATTAGGTGTTTGTTGGTTATCTGTTGCAGGACCAGCATAAAGACGAGTCGCCGCGTACAGCAGGGAGCAAAGACGTGAAAACCCCTAAGAGCAGCACCATGTCCAGCACCTCGCTGGAGGCTTAAGACGCAATCTGGTCTTCTGGTTATTATTTTATTCTGTGCTCAGTCTCTACTATATATTGTTTATAGTAATGAATTGATGGGGGATAAAAAGGAATCTTAATGCTTGAAGGATTTGTGTCTCTTTGAAATAAATAACATAAAATAAACAATATTCTTAACTCAATTCATGTTTCCATTAAAGACCTCAAAATTGCATATCGCATAGGAATTCACCCAGACTTTGTAGCCAGGAGATTTCTAACGGTAGTGTATTATGTTCCATTTTCTGCAGCTCATCCTCTAGTACATGTCTTTTATTTTTATATGCTATGCAGTGTATAAGAATCTGTTCAACTGTTTCTGGTTCATTACATTTAAGTTGAGCTGGCTTGAAACTCGACCCCTTTTTAACCCTTTCCATTTTTTTGCAAAATGTTTTGTGCACACGGCCCACCGGGTTATCATGGCAACTCCCCCCTTTTTATCACAGCCAAAGCTCATTTTCTCATACTAGCAACAGCTTGCTCTCACCCGCTCACAAGGACCGCCCACACTGCAAAAATCGGCCAATCAGAAATCACGCTGACCAAAAAAGAAAAACAGTGACTGGCTGCTTGAATTTAGATTTTTACTATCATGCCATTTTATCTCATCCTTCCTCTGCTCTTTTTCTTCCCGTGATGCATTAGTTTTTTTCTTCTCTCTTCTCTTTTCAAAACTAGAATGTAAGCCGTTAGTAGTGTTTGCAAATACAAACATTGCGATTACTGAAGGTTAGTGACTAAAAAGTAAATTGATTCTTTTATTCCACAGTCACATTCAATTGATTAAAAGTGACAGTACATACAGTTATAATGTTACAAAGGATATCTATTTCAAATAAATGCTTTTAATTTAACTTTGTTCACTAAAGTATTGTGAAAAAAAATGTATCGCGGTTTCCACAAAAAATATTAAGCAACAAAAAACTTTTCAACATTGATAATTATTAATCATTACTAACAATTGAGCACCAGTAATAACTGATAATAACTGAGCAGGATATTAGCATATTAGAATGATTTCTGAAAGCTAATGTGACTGAAGTCTGGAGTGATTCAGCTTTGTTTCACAGCTTTTTCTTCCCGTGATGCATTAGTTTTTTTCTTCTCTCTTCTCTTTTCAAAACTAGAATGTAAGCCGTTAGTAGTGTTTGCAAATACAAACATTGCGATTACTGAAGGTTAGTGACTAAAAAGTAAATTGATTATTTTATTCCACAGTCACATTCAATTGATTAAAAGTGACAGTACATACAGTTATAATGTTACAAAGGATATCTATTTCAAATAAATGCTTTTAATTTAACTTTGTTCACTAAAGTATTGTGAAAAAAAATGTATCGCGGTTTCCACAAAAAATATTAAGCAGCAAAAAACTTTTCAACATTGATAATTATTAATCATTACTAACAATTGAGCACCAGTAATAACTGATAATAACTGAGCAGGATATTAGCATATTAGAATGATTTCTGAAAGCTAATGTGACTTTAGTCTGGAGTGATTCAGCTTTGTTTCACAGGAATAAATTATCATCATTTTAAAACATTACAACAGGAAGTAGTTATTTGAAATTCTAATAATATTTCGCAACATTACTGTTTTTACTGTATTTTGGATTAAATAAATGCAGCTTTGGTGAAAATAAATATTAATTATTCCAAAAGTTTGACTATGTTCATTTGAGATTTCCTGCCGACAATTAATTTATTAATTGTCTTATTGCTTTCAAACTACTATACTAATAAATTTTTTGCCACACCAGTGCAATGGACCATGAAGAATAGAGAAGCACAACAAAAACACACAGGACATAGTTGTGTATCCACGTTTGAAGATTTAAAGAAACATGCCTCTAAAAACTCTGTCTGTAATCTATGCCAACGTAAGGCAAAATCTTAAATTTACTCCCATCCCCATATGGATCCAGGGTGATGGACTGAGTCCAGTCATACCAGTTATTCCGGTTATCGTAACAGCCATTCACACCATGCCATCGCTGACTGCGTATCCTGACGAGGTCTCGCTCGGTGACCTCTCGGCTGACCCCTGGAAGGTCTGTCACAGGGAACTCTGGTATAAACCCATGAGTTTTTCTGCACTCTTTGGAGTTCTTTATCTGTTGCTTGATGTTCGCACCCACAGAAAAGCTCATCCCTGACTTTTCTGAAATCAGTAAGCTATTCTGAATCATCTTACTTTGCGACATCTCTCTCCAGTTTGTCTGCTGGAATGAACGAAGGCTGTTTTTCAGATGCTCACTGTCCTGGATTTCACTTCCTGTTGATCTCTGGCAAGCTTTTGTTAATGTTTTACTTGAAATAGGTTTGATTTGTTGAGTATGAGGGTCGTATGCTAGTTTGCCCGCTTGCAGTTGTACCGTTTTGGTACTGTCCTCTCCATCGAGTTTGACAGTGTGACTGTTATGCTGTTTCTTCCTCGTCTTATCCTCAAAACCCCTTATGTTTGTGTCTGTCACTGTGCTGGAGACCTCATCAAGATTACTGTTGAGTGTAGCAGGTTTGAGTGTGTTGAGGAGGTCTGAAGGCTGTTGCAGCTTTATGTATGAATCCTGGATGGATGAATTTGGTGGATTAGAAGTAATGGAAGTGGATTGTGCTGGTTCCTTGGCCACCAAAAAGTGCCTTTCGTTGCTGTGACTGGCAGAGGCGGTGTTTCTTTCAGACTTGTGCTGGTCTTTGATAATGGTATTTTGGGAATGACGATTGGACAGAGATGTTCTCCAGCTTGTGGACTGTTGTAAATGCTTGATGGACGAGGAATATGGTTTGATTGCACGGACAGGTATTTTACTCGTTCTAAAATTGTTTGGATGTTTAATGGTTTTATCTGGTACAGAACCCCGAGACATTTCAGCCCTCTCACTCATGGTACTGTGAAAAAGAGTTCTGCTGTAATTTACAGTAAGGGTTTGTGTTGATCCAGGAATGCATTCGGCAGAAATCGAATTGTCTGCGAAACCTGAGAGCTCTTTTGCTGTGACTTCGTTTACTTCAACCAGACTCTGCCAACGTCGTATAAGGTTTTTTAAACGTTTAACAAAATCTTCATCTGTGCTCCTTTTTCTCACATCATTGATCAACTTTCCAAGCCTGGTTTCCTGGAATACAACAAAACCAAATCATCTCTTAAGGGAGCTTTTTTTTCCCCTTTTATTTAAGACATTAATGCATTAAAGCCCAGTGTGTGTGTGTGTGTGTGTGTTTCATTCTATGGAAGTCAATGGAGATCAGTAACTGTTACCAACATTCTTCCAAGTTTCTTCTTTTATTTTTTTAAGAAGAAATAAACTCATACAGGTTTGGAACAACTTGAGGGCGAGTAAAGGCAGAAATCGAATTGTCTGCGAAACCTGAGAGCTCTTTTGCTGTGACTTCGTTTACTTCAACCAGACTCTGCCAACGTCGTATAAGGTTTTTTAAACGTTTAACAAAATCTTCATCTGTGCTCCTTTTTCTCACATCATTGATCAACTTTCCAAGCCTGGTTTCCTGGAATACAACAAAACCAAATCATCTCTTAAGGGAGCTTTTTTTTCCCTTTTATTTAAGACATTAATGCATTAAAGCCCAGTGTGTGTGTGTGTGTGTGTGTGTGTGTTTCATTCTATGGAAGTCAATGGAGATCAGTAACTGTTACCAACATTCTTCCAAGTTTCTTCTTTTACGTTCTGCAGAAGAAATAAACTCATACAGGTTTGGAACAACTTGAGGGCGAGTAAAGTGTGCTTTTTGGGTGAACCATCCTTTTAATTCACATTTTCATTGTGACACGCTATACCACAGTTTTTGGGATAAATTTAATGTAAATATAGTGAGTTAGTATCTTACCACTAGAGCCTCTTTAGTCATGGGGTATTTTTCCAGGCAGCATATCACATCCAATAGAGCCATCGGGTTCTGTATCTGCTGACAGATAGAAGTTAAGCTCATGTCACTTCCATGCTTTCATAATATTCTCTGTGCATTAAATAACCTATAACAGTTAATGCTTAGCGAGTCACTTGCTGTCTCTTTTTCTGAGGCTGGTCATACTCATGAAAGTAGATGGGCCTCATGTATTTGAATCTGCTCTCACATGTGCACCTGCGGCAGTGACTCTTTCAGATCCCAGTTAACAGTTGTGTTTGCAAATGTGACATGCTTGCATACTCATTCCAATAAAAATCTGTGAAAAAAGTCCCCAGGGAGTTACATAATAAAAATGAACCTCACCACTGTGAGACTGAGCAAACCAGCAGATTCAACAGACTAATTAAGGAATGAAAAAATCTTGACTACACTTAAAAATAAAGGTGCTTCAAAAGGTTCTTCAAGCGACGCCACAGAAGAACCATTTTTGGTTCCACAAAGAACCATTCAGTCAAAGGTTCTTTAAAGAACCATCTCTTTCTTACCTTTTTGTAATCTGAAGAACCTTATTTCGCCACAAAGAACCTTTTGTGAAACAGAAAGGTTCTTCAGATGTTAAAGGTTCTTTATGGAACCATTTAGACAAAAAGGTTCTTCTATGGCATCGTGAAGCACCTTTATTTTTAAGAGTGTATGGGATACATATTACACAGACATTGGCAAAACGGACATTAATATAAAAAATTTATCAAGAATACGTAATACAGTCAAAAAAAGTTGAAATACTCCAAATATTGCTTTCCTAATATTCTCCACACAAAGCAAGCACATAAAGTGCTGAAAGAATGGATAGAAATTGCAATATAGTTCAATTGCAATAATTAAATGAAGTGACAGTTACTGCTAATGATGCACACGCAGCATGGGTACAAAACCATAGAAGACTGTAGTCATTACTTTGGTCTATAACTCAGCTTTTACTCACACTATTTTGAGCATCGATGGCCTGAAGGAGCTGCTCTTTCAGTTGATGAGGTCTTGATGAAGCTCTTTTCATTGTCTTTGAAAAACATCCACTGAGAGATTCGCTGCATTAGGAACACATACTTACAAAACTCTTCAACCATGCACACGTCTCTCATATGAAACCACTTTACTGCCAGCCCCATATGAGCTCAACTATCCGTGTCCATGCATGCAGGCAAATTAACAAACTGTACCTAAAAGGGTCCTACAGGTGCAATACAGTACTGTTTTCACATAGGCTTACCGAGTTAGCAATGAGTGTCGATTACAACAATATTTGAATCCAAGAAACTACGCTTCAGCAGTTCTTAGAGTTATACACATACCATTTTTTATGAGCTCACATTTAATGACAGAATAAATGTAAAAGATCCTTTTTACACATATACATATTATATCTCCATGGTCTTTGTATTTTTTTCAACAAGTTCAAATGTCACAGTTTTACTGTGCAGTTGGGATAAATAACACAACATTCACCAACTAAAATTCCACTATCTTTGTAAATCTGCTATCTTTGAAATTTGTGCACATTTATAAACACTTATACCATGGTCTGTCTGAGTACTCGATTCTGATTGGCCGGCAGGTATGCATTAAAACCGTTTAATGCACAGGTAGTACCAAGTCAGTTCAATCACCGTTTTATATTAATGCTCTGCTTTAACTGATGCACACACAGAGAGAGGTTCAAGATCGCAAATCGCGCTGTTCACACACAGAAACTTGTGTCAGCGCTGCTCCGCAACTTCTATTAATAGCCTAGATACTGGATCACTATATATTTTTCAGCAACGAGGTGGTAAAATCGCTGTTTTTGAAGTAAACACAGCTTCATTGTTTGTAGAGAGAGGCACAGTTAATTTACTTCGTGGAGGCAACCGTTTCGTGTCGGGTGGTTCTTGGCCTCCACGTCATACATTAAAGGGATCATATGATGCTGCTAAAAAGAACATTATTTTGTGTAGACAGTATAAGTCATTATAATCCGTAATTATGTCTCCACTGGATGCAACAAATGCCTCGTTTATAATGGGTTTTCATGTTTGTGTCTCGTCGCTCTGGCCGGACAGGGCATCACAGTATGGTAGGGGCGTAACATTTCTGTCACACGCTTGAGGTATTCGTCCAATCACAACGCACTGGATAGCTGGCCAATCACAGCACCCCTCGCTTTTCAGACCAATGAGCTTTGTAAAAATCGTTTCAGAAAGGCGAGGCATAGAGGAGAAACAATAATGTACAGTATGTGGAAAATAATGTGTTTTTTGAACCTTAAACCGCATAAACACATTTATACACAATTACAACATGTATTACACCAAATACACAAACTAATGTTCTTTGTAGCAACATCAACATCATATGACCCCTTTAAAAATGAGTTATTTAAAGATTGAAGCTGTTGACCTTGGCTTTTAAGTTGTTATTTGTGCTGTTAGTCACTGAAAATCTTGATGCCACCTCTCAAATGTGGTTCTTGGAAGTGACCTGCGCTGACTTCAGATGAGATATATTATTGTTAACTAAAACATTTTGAAACACTGAAATTGTAAATAAATGAAAAGAAAAAAACGTAAAAAATGAAATTGACAATCTAAACAATAATAGTTGAAGCAACTAACGAAAATGAAAAATCACATACAATTACTAAAAATTAAACTAAAATAAAATGAAAGCTGAAAAGACAAAAAAACCAATGAACATGTCAAATCATGGTTATCAGTTAAAGCTAAAATTATTGAATACATTTTGAAGCACCAACAATGTTAACTAGAAGTAAATAAAAACTAAAATGGAAATAAAACAAATTGAAAAAAAAAAACGACCAATAATATTTAAAAAAGAAAAAGCTATTAAAAATTACAAAATGACTAAAAATGAACTAAAATGAAAATAAAACATAAAAGTTATAGATTAGTCTATACCGAAATATTAATAGACACTAGCAAAATAATGGGTCAAACCTGATGCAATGTGTTTTCACATTTGAATTTGGTGCTTTTCGTCCTTCTTGGAGCCAGTGATTGTATGCTTTCTATGTAAATGAGCTGTATGAACATTTTTCAAAACACTTTTCTTTTTGTGTTCCTCATAAGAAAGAACAACATGAGGACGAGTACATGACAGTGTGTTTATATTCGAGTGCTATTCCTTTAAAGCACAATGAATGTCTGTCCAGATGTTATGCAACAGAAGCCCCTGAATCTCCTAATGTTCAGTCTAGCGCAAAGTTCCTCAAATCTTACCCTGGAAGTCCAATGCACTGCAGAGTTTAGCTCCAACCCTGATCAAACTCAGCTACCTGTGATTTTCTAATGATCCTGAAGACATTGATTAGCATGCTCAGGTGTGTTTGATTAGGGTTAGAGCTAAACTCTGCAGGAAAGTGGATCTCGTGGGCTAGATTTGAGGATCCCTGGTCTAGCGTGTCTCCAATCACAGGGAGGAATGCCAAGGCCTGATTCCACCGCTGGATCCTCTATACCAGGGGTGACCAACCCTGTTCCTGCAGAGTTCAGTTCCAACCCTGATCAAACACACCTGTCTGTAATTATCAAGTGCTCCTTCAGATCCTAATTAGTTGGTTCAGTTGTGTTTGATCAGGGTTGGAGCTGAACTCTGCAGGAACAGGGTTGGGCAGTCCTGCTCTATACTGTGTCCAGGAGTCAATGAAGGCCATTCTGGCTGACCAGCAAATTATCTGCATCCCCCGTCTAATGTACTTTGCTTTCCTGTCACGGGCGTAAGTAGCTCCCCTGGCAAAGTCCAGTTTGCTTACACTTGATTAAGAGTGTAGACACAACTAAACACGCGCCTTAAATGTTCTACGTTGTCTTTTCTTTAGGTCGCTCCTCTGGGAAGCCAATGTTGCAACATATTGTTTTATGGGAGTTTACATGTGCATGTATTCCTTCATTAAGACCAAACAACAGGTTGTTAACGGTCACGTGAAATCCTCTTAGCCATCCCATAATACTCCACACATCATCCACATTTCAAGGCAAGAAACCAAGAGTATATTCACAGTCGGAATGTAAAACATTTTTGTCTGCCATCTTTAGAAGTACTTAAAAAAAAAAAAAGAAATCAGAGGAAGATGTTTTATTTGTCTGTACGCCCATTATATTGTAACATTTAATGTTTGTTACGTGCAATGAATCTGTACCTACAATAACATTCTATAGTGCTAAACCAGGATTGTCTAATTATTGATGAATATAATTGTAATGACCGATTACCATTTCATAGCCTGATGCATTTGAGCAGATTATGTATTATTTGGTGACATTAAAAATGAAATCAAAGTATTAAAAATGTTTTATGTTAATGACTAAATGAGTACGATTAGTGACAACACTAGCAGGCAAAACTAAGGCAGGCCCTTTTCTGAAAAAAAAACTAATCTAATCTGATCACTTTTGTGAAGCATTTCATTTCAAATGTACCTAATTTAGCATTTTACCCTTTAAATTCCCTCTTGCCAACTTGACTTGGCATTATGGATAATCAATACATGACTCCCGCCATGGATTTTGAACATTCCTTCCTGAATGCATTGATCTGTGAAATACACTAGATCAGCTTTAGCTTTAGTAAAAAAGCTGAGCACAATACAGCGATTGTGGTCTTCAGCTCACCGGCATGTGTAAGGTCCTCTCCTCAGGCACGTAAACCTCAAGATAAAAGCCGTTTTGAAAAATACAAATGTAATCAACATCTTAAACAAGTGCGTCATTTTATTTATTAACTAGAGCAGCAAAACTAATACGTGAAGACAAAACATGGTGAATGACATGCAACGAGACATGACAACTTTTTCTGCTTTGCAAAACAACTCGTTTATACAGTAAAAACACCTCCAAAACTACAGGAAAGAGAACAAATGGAAAACGCTTTCCCCATTGATTTTAAAGATGCCATCAAATGTCAGCCAACTCCCAAGTGCTGTTCAATGTTTGTAAAAGGCGACATTTCAAAATACTGCCGAATGAATGGTTGGGCAAGACGCAAAACTAAACAATAAGAGAACATATTGAATGGACTCCAAATAATACATGAGAAAAGCCAACACCGGCAGAGGCCACCCAGTGAGATGATCAGCACCCCTCTACCCAAGCACTTTCCCATTCATCACACATAATTCATTAAAACAATCCCTTAAAAATCCCTTCTGTCTGGCCATGTATCACTGGGCGGTGCGTCTCCACTCATGTTGAGTCCACTGGTCGTCTCTTTATTGGTTGGATCAGTTTAGGTGTCTTGAGAGCATCAGAGGTCACCTTTCTGGGCGATAAGGAGTCTGGGCGTGTGGCTACACCAGCTGTACAGCGGCAGCCTGAAGGTAACCGTGCAGGAACTGAAGAGCTTCTGCTGGCAGACTGGTGCTCAACATTGAGGGCACCTGTTAAAGACAACATTCGGTTAGTTCAACAGCTCAGCTAGATCTGGAGACTCAAGTCATTTAAGTGATTACATCGTTAGTGATACTCACCCTTCCAGGACAGGCGGTGGAGAGTTTGTGTAAGGACTGAGCTAGGAGGATTTTGGGATTGTTGACAGCATCTCCGATGGGGTCATGCTCTTTCTTCCCTGCAAAAGCAAGCTGTGAGAAAGCCGTCTGGTATCCTGGAGTGTCCTCTATGTCTATGAAATGCTCATCGTCTGGGATGCTGTCGTCTTCTGGTAACTCAAACAGACCAATCAGAGCCTGCAACAAAGGGGTCCTAAAGAACAGAAACAGGCTTTTCTCACCAAATGTTCATGATTAATTCATCAGCTCATCTGACAGCCCACGTTATCTTGTTAGACTCCATGACAAATAAAGAGACGGGGGTGAGGGTCTTCGAAATGTGCTCCTTGTATCCTTTTTGGATTCGCAAGTATTTAAAAAGCACATACAATTTTAAGAAAAGCTATGACTTGGCACTATGACTATATAAAGATATGACACAAATGACTTGTATCAATCAAGATTAAAGTAACTAAACATTTCCAGGTATTTAAAAGGTGCAGTATGTAAAACTAACAGCTAGTGGTTAAAGTGTGTATGGCAGTCCAAATGCAAAATATTGTTTCTCAGCCCCCTCCTCCTCACACTCGACACTCACGTGGGTTGGCAGATTGAGGACATTTCTCCACGACCATGCCAAACATCCTGAGGAGGCAGAAAACAATGGAAACGATCAGAAAATAAAAAAAAAAACTCAACACATGCACTTTCTTTAGAAGATGCTTTGATGGGAAATTGTCATCAATAAGCCAGTCAGTAATATCTGCAACAAGATTATGACTCGACATGTTTAGAATAATAAAGCTACTTGCTTTGGCTGGATGCCATCAAATATCTCCTGCAATGCAATTGCTCCATATTTCACACAATAAAGGTTGATAAAGACTAGAAAACCTGTGAAGAGAAAAAGTGACAGATCAATATAGTGAGCAATTTGTAATTTTGAAATTACAGGGCTCATATAAATATGGGGTTAGAAGTAAACTACGATCAGAAATGACAGCAATCTCTCACTCTTTACAAATTTTGTGGTCTTAGAGCTCTGAAGCCTCTGGAAAAGCAGAATAAAGATCTGCTTCCTGTACTGGGTGATGGAATCTCTGCATACAAACACACAGAAGCAAATGAGTACAGCACATAAACATGTCAACTCTTTTATTCTTGTGTCCTCATGGCGCATTGCTTACGGAGGCATTTGCTCCACTATACTGTTGAGCAGATAGAAGCCTTGATGGTCATTAGCCTTGGATGCAATGAGCTTCTGGAATACTCCAAGAAGACCAGGCTGGTGGGGGGAAAAAAACAAATTACATTATTTCAATGGGAATGTATTGTAGGTAAGGCCCACTGCATTATGAGTATTCATCTAGCAAAAATAATAAAGGCCATCCCATGAAGCACTCACAATCTTGTCAGCCGCTGTGCTGGCGATGGTGGTGGCTCCTTTCTCCAGATAGGCCTGCAGCAGCCGGACGAGAGGAGGGATGTTTCCTGTGCGTTCCCACAGCGCGGGCTGCAGCATACAAACACACAGAAGCAAATGAATACAGCACATAAACATGTCAACTCTTTTATTCTTGTGTCCTCATGGCGCATTGCTTACGGAGGCATTTGCTCCACTATACTGTTGAGCAGATAGAAGCCTTGATGGTCATTAGCCTTGGATGCAATGAGCTTCTGGAATACTCCAAGAAGACCAGGCTGGTGGGGGAAAAAAAACAAATTACATTATTTCAATGGGAATGTATTGAGGTAAGGCCCACTGCATTATGAGTAGTCATCTAGCAAAAATAATAAAGGCCATCCCATGAAGCACTCACAATCTTGTCAGCCGCTGTGCTGGCGATGGTGGTGGCTCCTTTCTCCAGATAGGCCTGCAGCAGCCGGACGAGAGGAGGGATGTTTCCTGTGCGTTCCCACAGCGCGGGCTGCAGCAGGTGAGGAAACAGGGCCATGTAGGAGGAGGGGATGGAGCTGGTGTGGATCTCCAGCAGCAGAGACATCACCTGGAAGACGTAAGGCACAAACTCTGCAGGGCCAGAGATGAGACGAGAGGAAGGGCCCATAAAAACATGGCTTCAGGACTGTGCACCATCAAGAGATTACATACAGGAAACACTTTGTATGCTCTATTATTCAGATGCTTGGGGTCAGTAAGATTATTATTATTTTTAGGAAATTACATTGACGCACACTCAAGTCATACTGTTTACTCAAGTGACAGTATTTATAATGTTACAAATCAAAATGTTTACAAACATTCACAACAATGTTCTTTGAGCAGCAAATCAGCATATTAGAATGATTTCTGAAGGATGATGTGACACTGAAAATGTCAATGTTATTACTCCAGTCTTTAATCAAATAAATACAGACCCCATACTTCTGAGTGATTGTGTAAGTCACCACACAACTGTGTGATAAAGGTTATAGAGTTTAACACATTTACAACAGTGTAACACACCCTGCACATCATTCTGGAGGATCTCGGTAAACACAGGAAACAGGGCCTCTTCAAAGCTGCCCACAGTGTCCCGATTGGCCTTGCAGGTGATCCTGATGGACAGGCACAGTGACTCGAACAGGTAATGGTTGAAATGCGGCTTACTGGGATTCTGTAGAGAATACAAAGTTTGTTATCTTTAAAGAACAGGCTGCCCACACATACAAAAGATTTCAAATGGAACAAGTTTAAAATTTGCTACATGTTTTATTCAGTGGGTGGCTATTCTTTGAATGCAGAAAATGTGCATGCTGCAGAAACAGTGCTAGTATGGCATGCTGAACAATATCCTGTGTGTAAAACATGAAGATGTTCCGTCCTGCCTTTAGGATCAAGTCCTGCTTGGGAAATGTCCCCTTTAATGGACGGATATTTCTGTGTGTCCTGCCAGTGCATCTAATGCCATGGACTGAGACAAAGACCACATGACTGGACACCAACCTGCACTCAAGCATCCTTCATAGGACAGCAGATTTAGTGACTGGCCTACCTTGCTGACGAGGAGGAGCTTATGAGTGAGTTGGCCAATGAGAGTGGGGATGTAGGGCACAATGGCATCCTGTAAGAGGGAGAAACTCCTCATGATGGCTAGAGAGGTGACAAACCGAACAAGTCAAGGAGTAAATAAGAATATTACAGTAAATAAAATGTTTTACTACTAAAAGTTGTGAATATCAAAGAGCCAAGCACCTTTCATTATATATTCATTCTCAGATGAGCCAGGGATTGCTAAAGCTTTGAACAGATTGTTGAGTAACTGTTCTGTGAATGGTGCCATTTCAGCAGGAGTAATGCTGAAAAATAAGATTAGTTCAGAAAATAAATAAATAAAATGGTCAAAATTCAGAACATGACCGTTCTCATGTCTCGTAATGGAAAAACTCACAGAGTGGCGTTGTTGGCTCCTCTCATGGTGAAGATTCTCTCGAGTGAATGTGCTGCATATGTGTGCTGAACGATGCTTTCTGTCTGCAGGTGAGCCACCAGGAGAGGAACAGCCTCCAACAGCTGCTCTTTAGGGAGCTGGAGGACCAGACAGAAGCCAGACCAATCACACCCAGTGAAGGCACACTTGCGTAATGAAAAGCATACAATGTAATGGAAAGGAAAGTGCTTACTTGACTTCTGAAGGTCATAACATACTTGATGGCATCTGCTTTCAAAACTGGGAACTCGTTCACTGAGGGACAAAGAAGAAATGAACTGTCATTCAGCACCATTGCAGTTCCAGTAAAAACTATTTAACGTGCTAAATGAAACGAGTGAAGCCAATTACCATTGGGAGATTTCAGGTCTACTAGAATGTGGTTGACGAAGAATTCACACAGGTTCACCAACTCATTGGCTTGTGTTATTCCATGCTGTAAACCAGAAGTATGCATTTGTCAGACTGGACGTCAGATCTATAGCTCACAACGCAGAAGAAATCAGACTCAAACTACTCCTTAGACTGGCTCCAATAATCTCAAATCTGCCACATAAATATAATTTTTACAGCTTGTATAAAACATTCATATTAAGGTGCGAGTTACTTTGACTTGAACCATTGTCTGAATACGTGTAAGCCTTTTGAACAGATGTCTGCAGCACTTTGTTAACAGTGGTCAACCCATTTTTAAATTCAATATGAGCTTTATTTATATGTGTGCAGGTTACGTTCATCTCAGAGCGGCTCCGTTCACAGTAAATGCTGCTCCACACAGACAGTTATCATTTACAAGCACGGACTGTCTCGGATTTTGCATGTTTTTATGTCCACATGTTCTTGTTCAAGAAATGACAGTGGCTGTAGCATGTCTATCATAAAAAAGCTGCCAAATATTAAAGATTAAATGGACATTTGACTTAAATGTTTAGTCAATATAAACAAATTATTAGATAGTACTGTAAAGTGCAACGACCGTTGACAGGCTGTTGGCACCCTCAGCAGGCATTTCATATAATACATAATGCACAATACAATTTATGATTATATTGTTTTATTACATTATGTACTTGAACCATCTTGTTCAATAATGTCCATTTCACTATTTGCGAAAAATCTCACCTTTTGCGTCTGAGCTTTGGAGGCCAGAGATGTGACCAGGTAGATAGCAGCATCTTTGTGTTTCCAGTTCACCCCGGGGTTCTTGGCATATTCTGTCAGCATGGAGTTCACATAGCCAGAGAAGATGCCCGTCACCGGGCCCTCGAAGAACTTACAGAGGCCTCGCACCAAATCACAGGCTGCTCTACGCCTCGTGTCGATGTCTGTGAGGAAAGGAGGTATGATTCAGTACGGGAAGATGGGAGTGTCTGAACAATAGAGTGTAGCATCAACATACCTGAGCCTTCAAGGTCTCTGATGATGTACTCCTCTGCGTTATCTTCAAAAGCCTCTTCATCTGCACCTGTTTTCATACAATTATCAATTTACAACATGAAAAATCCTTCTAGATTATTTGTACCACTTCATCAGCTGCTATAAGAGCTTGACAATAACAAATTGACACATACTTCTAAACTCCATGTTGGGTACGATGACCTTCTCACAGATGCTGGTAAGAACATTCTGGTCTTCAAAGAGATGCTTATAGTGCGGCCGCTCACACACTGATGCCAAAAACTGGATAGCATTGCTAACAAGCTACAACAGACAATGTTGTCAGGCACTGTTAAGAAAAAAAAACTAACAGCACTATGAACACTAAAATAATGTCCGCCACCAAGTCTGTAAACCAGTGGTTCCCAATAGAGCCCGACCGATATATCGTCTTGCCGATATTATCGGCCGATATGAGCCTGGAATATGCCGCCGATATGAATTTTTTTTTACACAGCACATAATGCAGATAAAATGATTGAAATGGTGTAATTACTTTGTTTGTCCAGCAGAGCGCGCTCCATTGTTTGCTACTGGCAACCTGGATGAAACGCTTTAAAGCTCAAGTCAATGGAAAACCATTGAAACTTTGAACGGCCATATCTCCGCAACGGCGTGGCGAATCCGCACCAAATTCGGGGGATCTCTTCAGCTCAAGGAACCCTCTCGAACGCGAATCGAGTGTACGTCTCGAGGCCCTCTTTCGAATGAGACCACCCCCGCGTGGATAGCCCCCAGGGTTTGGGAGTTACGGGTGGTTAAATTCGCGGTCCGGCGCCGACCGATCTAGCGATCCCGGGGGGCTACCGACACGCGGAGGGTGACGTTTGAGAGGGCTCCTCGAGCTGAAGGGATCCCCCGAATTTGGTGGAGATCCGCCGGCGCGTTCGCGAGATAGTGACACCAGTCAACACTTTCCCTTCAGTAAGGAGGTTTCTTGTTCAGGCAGCATTCACGCGTTGTCTTATTCGACCACAAGTGCCCTGCGAAGTGGACTTCACATGAAATTCCGCCATGATTCCAGTTCCAAAGGAACGTACACGTTACATTCAAAGGGCATTAAAGTGCGCGAGACGTGAATTTATATTGTATTTATTTACAGAGGTAGGGGAGAGCGGGGCATAAAGTAACACTTTTTGACTTTCTCAGTTTGTGTAAATCTACATGGGGTTCAGAATATATATATTTTTTTTTATCCACGGTAATTTTACACTTGTCTAGTACAGATATGTCGCTTTGTTTCATTACAGTGTATAGGTTTTTCTTTTTTTACCCTCAAAAAATGGAAGTGAAATGTGACAACATGCCCCGTAGGTGGAACACATTGTAACATCTGAGGGGCACATTGTTACTTGACCATATGACAGCTTAAAATCTTCTCTGATCGAATGAAAAAAAATATACAAGACAAACTAATATATTTTGTTAATAAATATAAATATATATATATATTTATTTTTTGTTCAAATAAAATAATGGCGTTTTTTAAGAATTAAAAATAATCTGATTTTGGAGTTTGACAATGAACATTGCAACCATGCTTGGGACGGCCCACATAAACGAGCAAAAATGCTTTACATGTCTTGAAATAATAAACCCCGTTACTTTGTGCATCGCACTAATCGCAAGTTTATTGTTAAATTGTTAAATGCCCTTACATATCTCTGTCACCATTATAAGTGTTTGATCACATTTGAGTGATTATTGCAAAAAATGTATGTATTTATATTCTGTTTATGTATATACTGTATTCTATATATAGTACCAGTCAAATGTTTGGACACACGAATGGGAAAGTGTCCAAACTTTTGACTGGTACTGTACTATAATATACACAAAGAATATCGGCCGATATATCAGTATCAGACTTTTTTTTTTTACTCCCTAATATCGGTATCGGCCCCAAAAAACCCATATCGGTCGGGCTCTAGTTCCCAATACTGGTCCTGGAGAACCCCCAACACGGCACGGTTTTGGTGTCTCTCTTATCTGACACACATTTGAGGTCTTGGAGTCTTCACTAATGAGTTGAATCAGGTGTGTTTGAATAGGGAAACATCCAAAATGTGCAGTGTTGGGGGTTCTCCAGGACCAGGATTGGGAACCACTGCTGTAAACAACTTGCAACACATAAATACAAAACAAATTTTAAATGAAATCCACTTACCAAGTCATATTTAACCTCCTGTCCAGTTGTGACCAGCAGGTTCCAGATAGCTGTGACAAAGCGAGGTAAGTAAGGCTGGAACTCTTCATCATATTTTTGAGCGTAAAGTGCTGCGTTATCACAGATTTGGGATTTCAACAGCTCCAACAGACCAGCCTCCTCCTCATCCTACAGCAAGAAACTCACAGTTTAGTTTGTTGGTCTTGGTTATTTGAACTTACAGAAATTAGATTTGTGAGCACTCCCGTGTTAGAATATTTCAATATGAGAATAAACTCACATCTGTTTGCAACAACTTGTTATCCAAAGTCAATAAGTTATGAAAATTTGTCATCCAAGTCTCCATGTTATCCTCAAAGAACTCTGGGAGATCCTGAAGAGATTGGAAAAAGAGATGTGAACTGGCAAACAGGCACAGAAGTGCCATTGGAAGCATGAGCGGTTGTAAGTGCAGACTCACCTGGAAGTTAAGGCTGTAGAAAAGTTTTGAAATAAGTGTTAGGGAAGAGAAGAGCACTTTCAGGGCGTTGACATCTGTTGCATGAGTTTGACACAAATCAATCGTAGCCTAAAAGTGAAACAAACAAGTGCCATTTCCATTTCACACACATGAGTAAAAGCAAATGATTAGATGGAATAACAAAAAGGACAACAATTCATTGACTTTACCTTGAAGAGTTCAGTGAGAGGCTGTGCAAAAGTGTCCAGTACCAGCTTGATCTCTGACCACAGCTCATTGGACTTAAACTCATGGCGGTATCTGAAAGACAAGAGACAACACTCGAAATACAGGATGTATCAAATTTATGTAAGGGTCAGATACAAAAGTGTCTAGAAATGTAACAACACCTGAATCCAAAAAAAGTACATATATGTATTTATTCCAATACCTTTTAAAAAGGGAGTGTGCCGTGCGAAGAACTCCATTGATGATGTGGAAGTCCCCGCTCTGAAAACGAGTCACCATCTCGGTCAGGAGATCTGGCCATTTCTGAGGGAAATCCTCTCGCCCGATGATGCTGATCGCATCACTCAGCTTGCAGAGGGGAAAACAGTCACTATTATTTACAGATCATGTATTTATTTGTGCTCTTGCTTGTAATTTTGTTTTTATTTGTTCTTAAATTATTACTGGAGTGTTCACGCGTCTTTAACAATGTTTGAACTTTTTATTAGTTAGGCTAACAGTGTTCACCGTTGTATTGAAATGGAGAATTGTGAATTTAAAAGTCACATCTAAAATTTCTTAAAGGGGTCATATGCGATTTCAAGTTTTCCTTTCTCTTTGGAGTGTTACAAGCTGATTGTGCATAGATAAGATCCCTGAAGTTGCAAAGACTAAAGTCTCAAAACCAAAGAGATATTCTTTATCAAAGTTAAGACTCTGCCACGCCCCCCTAAAACGGCTCGTTCTAACACGCCCCCACATATCTACCTCACTATGTGGAAATATTAGCATAATGCCGCCCAAATGTTCACGCAAAGAAAGAAGGCGTGGTTTCAGTAACCGCAGTTAGGGTTGAAGCAGCCAAGTCAGGGAGACGCTGTGTTTCAGTGCGAAAGCAAAATAACTTTATTTGGCCTTCCGAAAGTAGATGCATTTAGGAATCTTTAAGATGACTTACAACAGAACAGTAATGCATTTTATGGATGACCGTTTCGTGAACCTAGGAGAGGAGGTAATTCTGACTTTGCTATGACAATCTGGCGCTTCTGAATCAGCTACTGTTTTGTTATTAGTTTAAGTATTTGCTATTGACTGTTCAAATGCGGAGTTTTGCGCATCGTGTGTGTGTGCGCGCGCGAGCGAGAGAGAGACACACATCACTGTGGAGTTAAGCTTATTTCTTATAATCAAATGACATGGGCCAAAAATAGACCCATTGATCTATAGGCTACAGCAGTATAGTTTATTACAAACCTAGTAATGTGGATTACAGCTACAGCACTCATTCCAAATAACAAGAGTAACTGTAAAAGTACACAGGTGAAACTTTTATTCTAACTGCTGCTTCTCATGGGTTATCTGAGATTCGTACCTGTTTTTGTATTTGCTCTGGGCTGGTTAGCATCAAATTTACAATGTTGGCTTTGATAGCAGTCCGGTCAGGATCAGAGATTTTGTTTGGTTCATCCTCAACCTTAGGAAGAGAAAGTACATAAATCCAGATTAAATGCCACCTATCACACACCAGACTGTTTTAATAGTATTTAACAGTACACTCACTATGCGCCAGTTCCTCTTGATGTAGTTCTTGAAGGTGACTGCTGCACACACGCGAATGACCTCATCTTGGGACTTCTCTAGTACTGTGAGCAGTAAAATGGGGTAGTTCTGGTTTCCCTCCACTGATTCCAGAAATTTCTCAGCTAAAGATGGAGAAGGTGAGAACACAAAACATGGGGATATACAGTATAGTTAAGACTAAACAGTGTTATTTTACATTTGATTACTTTACTGTGCCTCAATACTACCGAAAAAATTTATAGCACTGATTATTTCGTTCAAATCTTTTTTTTTTCTATTGTATATGAAATAGATTTTTTGTTTGTTTTGTAAATTAGTTACGGTTTACTTGTCTTTAACAGTTTTTGAACTTTCAATTAATATTATGGTAGTATTGCCCAAACTGGTATTGAAATAAAAAAATCTCTCTAAAGAAATTTTAATTAACATACGAGAATCAATATGCTTTTTGGCCAAACAAGCACACTTTTGGACTAAAAGCCCTGAGGTAAGTTGTTTACTTTAACATTTCGTTTTAAGGCATAAAACATTCATTTAATCTATCTTCTAAGTAATGAAAATTAAACAAATTAATTTTTTTTGGAAAATAAAGGTCATTTAATATTACAATTAAAACATTGAAGAAATATTGAATGCTTATTCCTTAAAAATAAGGTTTTAATCATTTTAGTAGTAGTAGTCTGTTACGTACATTCTACTCAACAACAGTAATATATTTCTGCCAATGCCCTCAAGTTAAACCGAACCTTTATTTTGACGGGCTGCCGTGAATACCTTTACATTTCTGTGTGTGTATGTCATGATGATAGTTTTACTGAAATGAAATGGTCAAATGCTCATGAAGTGACTCTCAGAGCAGTTCTGGAGATGTTGTTCATGTATTTATGTCCTCATTAGTGAGACGGCAGAGGTTAATATCACCGGAAGCGTCACAAGCGTTTCAGTACAAGTAACGTTACTACACAAAACCGCGCGTCTGCGCCATTCATAACACAGAGACACGCAGAATTCATATTTAAATATGAATCGGTTTGCGGCTTAATATTTACAAATACTAGTGGGAGTGGGCTCACTTGTGTGTGTGTGTGCGTGAGCGTGCATCGGGCGGAACTCCGCTGTGCGTGATGCAGAGAGCGCGACCATAAGTAGAGACTGAAATGACATGCCGTCATGTAAATAAGATAAATAACATAAGGCTATTTAGTTTGCTTAATGAAAGAACAAGGTATAGACATGTTCTATAAGAAAGGTAACTTTAAATGACTTCTGTTGTGATCTGGCGCTATAGAGAAAATATAATTAAATATAATTAACGACCTTCAAGGGGCCGCCCCCCCTAAAATAATGGCAGGGGAAAACACTGCATTATGCTAATATTTCCACATAGTGATGTAGATATGTGGGGGCGTGTTAGAACGAGCCGTTTTAGGTAGGTGTGGTTGACTCTTAACTTTTATAAAGAATATTTCTTTGGATTTGAGACTTTAGTCTTTGCAACTTTACAGATCTTCTTTATGCACCAAGAGCTTGTAACACTCCGAAGAGAAAGGAAAACTTGAAATCGCATCATATGACCCCTTTAATGTTTGGCCAAATTATGCAGCCCTACAAAAAAGCACAACAAACCTGGTTTTCTTTAGAATATTTCCCCCCAAATTCAAACATTTACAATTAATCCAGAATGCGTCAGCAAGATACATTTTTAATGAGCCAAAAAGAACGCACGTCACATCTCTGTTCATCAATTTGCACTGGCTACCAGAAGCTGCTCGCATAAAAATCAAGGCATTAATGTTTGCCTACAAAACCACCACTGGCTCTGCACCCCTTTACCTAAATTTATTACTAAAGAGTTATATGCCCTCTAGAAGCTTGCGTTCTGCAAGTGAACGTCGCTTTATTGTGCCATCCCAAAGAGGCTTTTATTTATTATATAATAAAAAAATGTGTACTGCATTAAGCTAACTGAGACTTGTTATAGCACTTGCGTTTCATTGCTCTTTTGTTGATTCTGATTGCTTCTATTGTCCTCATTTGTAAGTTGCTTTGGATAAAAGCATCTGCTAAATGACTAAGGCCCAATCCCAATTCTACCCCTTAGCCCTTCCCCTTTCCCCTACCCCTCCGTTTCGCGCGTTCACGTGAAGGGGTAGGGGTGTCTCGATTCTCTTTTGGTTGGAGGGGTAAGGGGAAGGGCTAGATAGCCCTTCAAACTAAGATTTTTCGGGACCACACTTCAAACGAAGGAGTATGAATTATCTCAGCGTATACCCGCTTCAGGGGCAACATGGCTGCCCGAGCGAACAAAAAGACACAAATGTAAGCATTTTTAGTATTAATAAAGATTTTAACAAAAAGTAATCATTTGTTTTATGTTACATTCAATCATGAGTTCATATTTACGGTCATGTCACTCAAAGAAACGTTTGCAAAAAAAATCGCTAATATTTGCTAACTAACGTCGTCATCATTACAGACTGCACGATAGTGCCACAACATATTTTCATGTCTGATCAGGGCGATAACCACCGTAGACATTGAGGGGGGCTAGTCCCCCCAATAATTAGAAATTGCTAAACCCTTTTCTCAAATATTGCCAATTCGAGAGAAAGAGAGATGAAAGTTGCGTGTATACGCGTCTGTGCGTTTCTCTTTTTAGAGTGAGTTTACTTAAAAAAAAAAAAAAAACAGCGATTTTATCCTCTCGTTGCTGGAAAATACAATGTATCGATTCAGTATTTAAACTTGTAATAAAAGTCGTGTGGCAGCGTTGACAAGTTTCTTTTCTCCTGGATGTGTGAGCTGCACAATCTCCGATATGTGTGTGTGTGTGTGTGTCAGTAAGCAGCGCATTAATATAGAACGGTAATTAAAGGCTCTAATGCTCAGCAGCACAGCAGTATAGCTGTGTGTATTGTAGGAGCTAGACGACGTATGATGTGTGACGTATAGTAGTGGTGTCCCAATTCTTAGGGGAATATTTTCACCCCTAGACACTCTGTTTCAAGGGACAAGGGGAAGGGGTAGGCGGAGGAGTAGGGGAAGGGGAAGGGGTATAAAATAGAATTGGGCCTAAATGTAAATTGTTCAGCACTACTGAGAACTGTGAAATTTCACTAGTATATAACATACTGGCATAGTAATGACAACATATTACAATACAAGACTACATGGGCATAAAACACTAATATTTTTCTCTTTTTTTGGCAAGCTAGTGAAAATTTTGGCAGCTGGGCCAGTAGGAAAAAAAATATTAATGAGGCCTGAATGTTTTGTCCTTCTCATACACAAATCCAAAGAAAATGCAGTATTATTTTTAGAATAGCCTCAAATGTGAAGGTTACCTGGCCGTCTCACAGCTGGGTCAGGGATTAGTGTTTTCTGCAGATACTCAGTCAGGGTTTGGAGATTTCCATCATTGAGCTCCATGATTGCTACAGAAATAGAAGGATCCACTATGAGAACTGATGCAGTGAGATGACACACACACACACACACACCACTACAGCAAGGGTACTGTTTTATTGATTAAAATCAAGTCATTCTGTAAAGCAGAAAGATCATGCTGATGATAATGTGAACATGTATTTATTTTGTTAACGCATTTCAGAAATTAAAGACCTGCATCTGAAGTTAATGTAAACGGACCCTTACATTTTTCTTCTGCACATCCCTTATACAGATAGCGAAAACTGCTGATAATGTTCATGTTTATGATCTTGACAAACGGTAGCACACATGCTTGGCCTGCTCTGACTGAAGCGGCCTGACAAGTATCTCACTCACATTTACGACTAAACACTAAACTGTGCTCTGTGTGGTAGACGGCTGGTTAATGGGCTCCACTGTGTCAGTCTGGCTGTTTATGATAGCGTTTACTGACAGAAACTCAGGCCATGATTCACGTGCTAAAGCTGTTAGCATGCTGAGAAGAAATGCTAGTCATCCAAAATAATCACAATAAAAAAAGCGCTTCACGATAAAACGACCTCTATTTTCCAATGTGACGGACACTGAAGAAACCGCCAAACGAGGTTAATTTAGTGAAAGTAAGGCGGAAAGTACTGCGTTATGTGGTTAGCTCACGAGCTAACTCTCCAGCTCACTCTTAACAGCGCGCGCGCTGCGTGCGTAAGCATCCAAACAAGATAATCCAGTAAACTCGTAGTTTATTAACGACCAGAAGATACTATAGAGTGGATTTACTAACAATGAGATAAAAAAGGGTCTTACCGTTAGCTGTATGAAGAAGTGCTGCGCTAACCACCGGCGAGAAGTTTCAAACGTCTCAAGTGCGCGGTCAGTCACGACTGTGCGCATGCGCAGTTGCGCAGTAATGCGCGCTAATGAGACAGAGGAGCGCACATGGGGCGCGTGTGTATTTGAGCCTTTAGCCTGTATGTGTTTCTCACGTACCGCCCCCTCCTGTATGTTGCGGCGAACTGCAGCATATTTAGAGGAGCGTTGGTTTTGTGGACAGAATGGATCTCATTTTAGAAATAAAAACAAGGTCATATTTCAAGACTTTTGTCTTGTTCAATTATTCATTATATATATATTATATAATATATTATATAGGCCTATAATTATAAAACAATATAATTAAATTAAGTATATTTTAAAACGAATACTTTTTTCCCCATTAGGATTATTTTCACAATAATTAAGCATATTAGTTCTCATTACAGAGATGTAAAAATAGTCAAAATCCACTAAAACAAATGCCTGTTTTAGCAGTGCCGTGTGTGTTTGGAATGTGATGCCAGCCACCTTCTGAAGGATTTGGGGACATTTTGTGTTAACCATCAATGAGAACTACACACAAAACTAAGAACAAACTAAATTGATTCATATGAAAATAGAGAGTTTGCAATTATATGCCAGGATACAAAGCTTTTAGAGACTGATGAGCTAATGAAGCAAGAAATAGATATGTACATTTCTTAACATGATAATGCAAATATGCTTGCAAATGCAACCCACAAATAATGCAAGAAAAGGAAAAAAGGGATACCACAGGACAAAAATGTTAGAAAAGATTTATGCAACTTGCAGCTCCAATTATCTTACGCGATGCACAAGCAAAGTCAGAATATTACCCCAAATGTTGGAGAGATGTGACTTCATTTTCCAGCCTCCTTCTTAGGAGAACCAAGACATGAACTGAGTAAACACCTTCAATGTGTGTCTTCTCCATCTCAACAGCATAACATAGTCAAACTTTCGAAAGCATTTCAAAAGTCAAACAAAAATTCAACAGCTTTCTTCTTCACATCAAAAGAAATCAGTAATAGTGTACATTCTCATTGCAACATAACAAGAAACCAAACAAAAATAAAGGTGACCTGTCGGATAAACAAATGCTCAGCGAAGCAACTTAGACAAAAACAAAACCGAAACAAACAAAACTACTAAGAACGCAACAAAAAACATAGATGCAAAGCAAACACATACAACGAAACAACAACATAATTTTGCCTGTGGATATTTTCAACATTGTTTTTCCAGTCACTACCAAAAACACTTTACCCAATTCTAAAAATAAAAACGTTCTCACGTTTCATGACTGAAGTGTAGTCTTTGGTAAAAATTAATGAATCGCGGGTCCCCAGTTTTCGAAGCGATGATTCGAATGTTTTTTTAGCAAGGCCTTTGTGCTGTATGGCATGAGACAACCGTTTACGATATTACAGTAACTGTTTTTCCTAGCAGTATCTGAGAATCAATGACAAGAAATGAGAGACACTAAAAGAGGTCGGTTTAGTGAAGAAATGCTCGGACTGAGTCTACAAGCTTCTAGTAAAACCAGTCAATACCAAACACAACACACACCTATATCACACACATACACACACACCTGCCGAGGTGAAATGAGACTGTACAGAAGGCATCGAGAGACTTGTATACATTATTCTCAAAGTTATGGGACGGCTTATGTCAGTGAACCCAGGACGAAGTAGAGCAGTAGAAAAATTACAAAATGAAGTGGGCAGAGAACAGAATTAACTCCTACATTATGAGTCGCATTTTATCATTACATGTTGAGTTGCACTCTCAAGTGACAAAAGTAGCAGCTTGCAGCGTAAAGCAATGGAGAAATCAAACCAGCAGGGGGTGCTAGAGAAGTCACGGGCTCTTCAGATCCTTCGACCAAGAGCACAGACTGTGACGGCTGCTCGTAGAGACAGTTAACATTTACAAAAGCACAAGTTATCATGATATACGATATATTCATATATATTAAAAGCAGAATATGAATCATACAAAAGTTCACAGTAGCTGTTTTAATACCACCTTTCGAAAGTAAATATGGGTTTAACTAGACGCGTAATGAGTAGATATACTATTCGGGGTGCGTGAAATGATCAAAGCAAACGAAAATCAAAACGAACATAATCCATATTGCTCATACGGTCTTTCATCGGTGAATCTGACGCTTTGTGGTGGGTCTTCGCAAGTTGGACATGGGAATAATCTCTTTTTCCAGCGTCTGAGGTGTGCGTGGAAAGTGTTTTTCGCTTGTGGAGGATATTTCTAAAGCTTCGGAGAGCAGCTTTATTATGGAATGTCAGAATAAGGGCTTGACAGTGAGAGTTCAAAGTGAGTGAGAGAGACCGACTGTGGTGGAGATGCAGGAGTAGGCAGTAACACTGATATTTTCATAGTGCAAACTAGACAGAACTGTGTTTCATTTCGTTTCGTTTGTTGCGAACTCAAAAAACGTCGGTGCAAATGTTCAGTAGGATAACATTAAGACATAAAATGGCGAAAAAATAAATATCAAAAACTTTTTATCAGTGTAAAAAAGTAATCAGGTTATTCTTTTAACCAAGAGTTCTGGCAAAAAAGGCCTCAGAAAAAGTCTGTCTTAGTCCTTGAAGTTTTACAAAGTTCGAGTAAGTGCCTCTTCGCGCCTGTTCGGGGGGCTTTAGACGAGCGACTCCATGCTTTCGGCCGGGTCCGATTCGTCAGACATGGCCACGCTGCCGTTTCTGTCCAGGGACATGGGACTGGATCCGTTCTCTTTAGTGCTTATCAGGCTGAGCATAGCTTTGTAAAGGTACTGGTACTGTTCCTGAAAAACAGAGGCGGACATAAAGCATGACTTCACAATGGGGCACAGAGGACTTGTTTTTTGTTTTGTTTTGGAGAAAAATTGTGTTTAGAAAAGGATGTAAAATGTAGATACTAGCTTCCTACTCCAGTCCAGTAGGTGGCAGAAACATTCAAAAACATTAAGCTTTTATGTTGATGTGTAAAAATGTCAGAAGCAGCTGAATGTCTGCTACCTACTGGACTGGAGTGAGAAGCCCTGAATGGCTCACACTTAAAATTGATTCAACAAAGTGACGTGACATGACATGTGGCCAAGTATGGTGACCCATACTTGGAACTAGTGCTCTGCATTTAACCCATCCAAAGTGCACACACACACAGCAGTGAACACACACACACCCGGAGCAGTGTTTTTGCTGCGGCACCCGGGGAGCAGTTGGGGATTCGGTGCCTTGCTCAAGGGCATCTCAGTCGTGGTATTGAAGGTGGAAGAGAGTGCTGTACATTCACTCCCCCCACCTACAATCCCTGCCGGTACGATACTCGAACCCGCAACCTTTGGGTTACGAGTCCGACTCTCTAACCATTAGACCACGGCCTGCGTGGATCAACAAAATGGATCCTTTCACTAAAAATGCAGAAAGATAGATATTAAGGCCAAATTTGATTCATTTGTTCTCTCATTTTAGTTACATTTTGGCTATGTTGTACTAATTTGTTCTAAATCGGCAACAAATTGAGCTGTGGGTATGAACTCGTGGCTGTGCTTTATTACTTAGTTTCCATGTTTTAGTTGAATCGTAGCCACACGGTACTAATTTGTTCTAATTCAGAAACAAATAAGATTGGCTGTAATGCTCAGGCAATTTGCAAAATAGTAAAACCAACATGACAAAGAATCGTGATATTCCTGAATAAAATGGTTGTGAATAAACTTGTGCTACAACTATTTGGCCTGTGCTACAAAACTTTCAACCTCTGTAGCACCAGTGCTACGTGAAAAAAAAGTTAACCTGGAACGACATGAGGGTGAGTAATCAATGGCAGAATTTTCATTTTTAGGTGAACTTTAAACACACACATACATATGTTCTTTTGTGTCATTTAGGTTTAAGGGTGAGTTCATTATATTTGCGTATAGCATATGGACCTCAGTATAAAAACTCACAATGTCGGTAAAGACTCCTGGTCTCATGAGGTTGATCATCTTGGCCACCTGGTAGACCCCCACAGCTCCATCACTCTCCAGCTGCTGTGAGAGTGTGGTGAGAGCACATAACATCCCAGCAGACACTGCACCAAATCTGTCCACACACAAACAATACATAGCTCTGTTATGATCAAACATCTCTTAAAAGTCAACATAAATGCTGTTCAACTAATTTACCTCTTTGAATGTGTCATATGTCAGATTGAAATATTATTCAACAAGAAGAAGAAAAAAAAAGAAGAACAGTACTTTTTTATTCTTTGGGAATTGACTAAATTGTGAAAAGTCGTGTCTTTGTGATGGGCCAGGGTTCAAAAAATTGGATTGGGGATGCCAGAACAGTGTTTTGTTAGTATTATTTGTAAACTATTATAATATTTGTTAATGTTTTGAATTAGTTCAGTTTTAGTTCATTTTAATTTGAGTAAATATTTTTTATGTGCTTTTGTTATTTGTATAGGTTTTTGTTATTTAATATTTAACATTACTTTATTTTGTTTCAGTTTAAGTTTTAGAAATGTTAGTACTTTATTTCAATTAGATGCTAAGGCAACATTTCTAATTTTGGTCTTTTGTCTTCTAAGATGTTGACATTTTCATTTATCTTTTACTGAAAATGCTAAGAAAAATCAGAGCAAGTTATAATTTATTACTTATATATTTTTGTTAACAGATTAAAACGACAATTTTTCTATTTCACCAAAAAAATCATGCATAATAAGACCAATAATGTGCATGAAGAAATATGTTTATATATTATTATATATTTAAATAATATATTAAATACATGTATTTTGACTGTACAACCTCAAAGTTGTTCTCATGAAACTAAAGTAAAATTTAATCTTTATATGTTTAAAGGGGTCATATGATGCTATTTTAAAGATCATTATTTTGTGTATTTGGTGTAACAGAATATGTTGACATGCTTTAATGTTCAAAAAACACATAATTTTTCAAATACTGTACATTATTGTAGGTCCTCTATGCCCCGCCTCTCTCAAACACGTCGTTTTCAACAAAGCCCCTCCTTTGACAAGCGCAGTCTGCTCTGATTGGCCAGCTGACCCAGTGCATTGTGATTGGCCGAACACCACAAGCATGCATGGAAATGTAACGCCCCTTACAATAATCACGAGCGTCAAGCTTTCAAAGTAAAAATCAAGACAGTTAATAATGTCGTTAGTTTTACCATCAGTTCAAGCCCGAAAGGGCAACAGAGTCACGTGACAGACACAGTGATGATGCAGCACACAAGCCGCGGGGTTAAGACAGCTGACGTGCAATGATTTCTGACAGGCAGTTCACTCTCCTGTGATGTGACCGGTTAATGAAAAGTAAATGTTTTGTGGTATCCCATCAATAGCACTGGAATATTGTGGCTGTTATTCTTATTTACATAAAGTAAATTTACACAGTAAATTTGATTCCAAAACACCAAATTCCAAAATTCTAGCTTTTTTTATATGTGGTTCAGTTGCTTACTGTAAGAGGAGGTTTTCTATTTCTACACATTTCTTTTTATAGATCATCTTGTACAGGCCATTTTCCATCTTGTCTTATCTTGTGTTCTTGCTTCTTTCTCTGACAGTAGTGCAACATTTCCATTTATAAACTCTATACTTAAGTCTATAGGAATAGAATTCATTACAGTTCCTACTGTTTGACACCATAAGGTGCTGTGATCCAATTAGCTTTAACGGGTATTCCTTAATATCAACAGACATTATTTTGCAACAAAACGACTAACAGTGGCCCCTTCATGTTTATTCATTATGTTAATGAGGCCTGATTGCCTCATCTGATGCTGGACTAATTGAGCTTTTCAAAATGTGTAACGTTACTGTTATATCACCCCTAAGAGGTTCCAAAAAGATGGCTGACTTAATTAGCATCACGTTCATTAGAGCTAAAGATATACTAGTCTGTCAAATGCTCCTCCTGCAGAAGATCTGCATCTTGCATTTGGCTCAATTTGCAGACTTCTATTAGGTACAAAAAGTGTGTATTGGCAAAGCATGCAAGCCTCGAGTCACAAAACATGAAAAAAGGTTGTATTGTTCCAGTTCTGACGTGCTACATACTATATCAGATGGTTGGTATGTGAATTGTGATTGAAGTCATTGAACCAATGTTCATCTCATCCCAACCTCTAAAACCAGAGGCAGTTTTTACTTAAGATTTAGGTTTTCTAAGCCAAATTGTAAATTACAGGAGGCACTTTTAATTTTATAAAAGTGCATTACTCACTCGTCATGCACTATAGTGGGTCCATCTCTAGTCATGGCCTCTTCTTTGATGACATTGATGAGCTCAAAGGTGCTGCTTATGGGAGCGTCAGGGTTTGGCCATTTTGGGCACTGAAAATGACGAACTTCTAAAACGTAATCATCCTAAAAAGTAAAAGAAATGGAGAGAGATATTATAATTATGAACTTTTATATAAACTACATATATAATCTATTTATTTATTTACTGTACACAAATTTGGGGCCAGATTTTTTTTTTTTTTTAAGAAATTAGCACTTTTATTCAGCAACAATGCATTAAATTGATCAAAAGTGACAGTAAAGACATTTGTAATGTCACAAAATATTTCTATTCAAATAAATTCACACTTTTCACAAAAATACTAAGCAGCATTAAATAGAAAATATGAATTTTATATGTATAATAATAATTTAAAAATTAATAAAAAAAATTAAAATTAATAAAAAATGTTTAAGAGCATTAAATCAGCATATTAGAATGATTTCTGAAGAATCATGTGACACTGAAGACTGCAGTAATGATGCTGAAAATGATTTTAAATTGTAATAATAGTTCACAATTTTAATACTGTTTTTATATATAAATGCAGTCTTGGTGAGCATAAAAAAAATTAAATAAAAATCGGTACCCAAACTTTTGAAAAGTATTGTATAAATCTAATATATAAAATATAATCTAATTTTTTCTTTTTTTCTTTGGTTCTTTCTCTTAATGTAATTATACAATAATATTAAATTGTAATATTTCTATTCAAATAAATTCACAGTTTTCACAAAAATACTAAGCAGCATTAAATAGAAAATATGAATGTTATATGTATAATAATAATTTAAAAATTAATAAAAAAAATTAAAATTAATAAAAAATGTTTAAGAGCATTAAATCAGCATTTTAGAATGATTTCTGAAGAATCATGTGACACTGAAGACTGCAGTAATGATGCTGAAAATGATTTTAAATTGTAATAATAGTTCACAATTTTAATACTGTTTTTATATATAAATGCAGTCTTGGTGAGCATAAAAAAAATTAAATAAAAATCGGTACCCAAACTTTTGAAAAGTATTGTATAAATCTAATATATAAAATATAATCTAATTTTTTCTTTTTTTCTTTGGTTCTTTCTCTTAATGTAATTATACAATAATATTAAATTGTTAAATGTGATTAAATATTTATAATAAATAGAAATTATGGTCCCACTTTATATCAGGTTGCCTTAACTACTATGTACTTACATTTAAATTAATAATTTGATACAATGCACTTATTGTGTAAATACATGTTTTTACATTGGATTTAAATGAACAAAATACCTGCATGTAAGTACATCTGTAATCAATTTCTGTAAATACATTTATAATTAAACTTTTAACCCACCCTTAAACCTACCCATACCACCAAACCTGTCCCTAACCTTACCCGTATCCCACCTCAATAGCAGCAAATGTGTTTTGCAATACAATATGAACACAATAGATAGATTGTACTTATTTGTTGATGTAAGTACATAGTAGTTAAGGCCACCTAATATAAAGTGGGACAAAAATTATAGTACAATATCTTTAAAAGTTAGATAACAAAATATAACATAAATTTATATCATTAATTATATATCATATCTAGTTTAAATCCAAAAGTTTACAGCCAGACATTTGTGGCCTCAGGGAATGCTATAAATGATATTATAATATTATTCAAAATAATACAACCATATTAGATGAAATACAAATAATTAAGTACATACTATATACCGTTTGAATCTAAATCTTTCCCTCTAAAGACACAGACCTGTGTGGCCTCCAGGATGAAGTCATGAATGATGATTTGCTCCTCACTGGAGAGACAGAGTCTGTCTTTACTGATAAGAGTGACTGTAAACGCCTCACAGTTCATGGCTTCCTCTCGACTCGGCCAATACACAAACTCATCCTCCGCCTGCGGGAACAAACGTGAGTGAGCATCAATGCTGAGTAATTAAAGACATTCAGTGCTCTCACAACCAATTCCCGTAGTTCACTGCCCACAATAACAAGACATCGGCTGACCTTCAGGAGCACAGCCTATAACATTAACTTGAGTTTCCCTCCTTAGAGGTAAGACATGACTCAAGACAAACAGTAACTTCGCAGATGGTCTTGAATACCCACCAGGCCCTGGTTGTCTGGTAACATGACGATGATCTGAGCATTGTGGTCCCAGATCATCCTCCAGAAATCTTTAGTGGTGTGAGGCAAGGGATGCTGGGTAATGATGAACTCATTGCTCCGGTAGTAGCCCTAGTAGTAGTGCGGAAACGTATAATAAACAAAAGCAGGTAGCATATAGATAAGTGACTCAATATATCCTCACTTTATATTTAGTTAAATTCAGTTACTTAAATAATATCCTTAGTTATAAAAAGGCAAAATGACAATGTGAAGTTTGTGTATAATTTCAAAATGCCTATTTCTCGTTGACCTGTCACCTTTGAACCATAAATAAAACCCTTTATACTATTTGAAAAAACTGCACCGGTGCACAGGTGCTGTAAAACCAAAATTACACAAATGTTCACTCTCATGACCATAAAGCAGAAGTTTCCCCCAGAACACTGAGTGCTAAATTACAGGTTAATGTAGTTGTGGTGGGGGTGTTGGGAACTCACCATTATATAAGATGCATTGATGTAATCAGTGCCTTTCATCCCAGGCAACGGTGCGAGACCAACACGTGCTCTTTCCGCTGAGAGGGATAAAAACAGCCAATCAGGACACAGAGTAAGAGAGCAGGTCAGTGATGTGATCTCATTAGCTCAAATGAAAGCGGTGTTGCAATTTGGATACTAGAAGAACTGTCATAGAAGTCCAAGGTATGTGAAAAAAAGCTAAAAATAGCTTATCCAGAAAAGAAAATGGCCACAGGACACCACAGTAAACCATAAATACATTTAGTATTTTACATGTAGTCATTTAGCAGATGCTTTTATCCAAAGCTACTTACAAATGAGGACAATGGAAGCAATCAAAATCAACAAAATTGCAATGATATGCAAGTGCTATGACAAGTCTCAGTTAGCCAGTACACGTAGCAAGTAAAAAAAAAAATTATATAATAAAAAAAAAATAAACAGACTAACTACTCAACAATACACAACAAATAAATTGGATGTGCTATTATATTTACATTAGGTTATGTTACTCACATGGGACAACAGAAGAGTTGCGGTTCTTCTCCTTGTTGCATTCTTTTTGAGCACTGAAGCACTCCACAAATCTTGCATTGCACTGAGTCACCAACTGAACATAAAGTAGAACTAATTACTTTTTCTTTATTTCAAAGTAGTATGAAACATCACATAAGACAACTTGTCTATTTACAACGTTGCAGTCTACCAAACTGCAGGTTAAGAACAGTCAGAATTTCAGGGCTCAACAAAACAAAACAAAGCAAAGAAAGGCAAAGCAAAGCAAAGCAATACAAAAAACAAAACACAAAGCAAAACAAAACAAAGCAAAGAAAGGCAAAGAAAAGCAAAACAAAGCAAAGCAAAGCAAAACAAAGCAAAGCAAAGCAAAACAAAACAAAGCAAAGCAAAGCAAAGCAAAGCAAAGCAAAACAAAACAAAGCAAAGAAAGGCAAAGAAAAGCAAAACAAAGCAAAGCAAAACAAAACAAAACAAAACAAAACAAAGCAAAACACAAAACAACTAATTGACATTTATTAGAAAACAAAACAAAAACAACAAAACAAAACAAAAAAAGATGCATCACATTAAGTACTGCAAATCCAGGAAGGAAATATGTCCTGCAGTTGTAGCCTACCAAATAAAATGAAATGTTGATTTATATTGAGGTATTGAAGCCGAACCAAAAATAACCATAAAAAGTGAGAATTTCAGGACTCAATAAAATATTTTATAAACTCATGAAACTCAAGCAAGCCACATATCACACATTTTTCCCGCACAGGACCTGTCAAGCTTGGGTTGTAAGTCACAGTGTCCTAACCGGGTATGAAATGATAGAGCAACAAGCGATAAAAGTGAACCAATTTCAATGGTTCAAAATTCTTCTCCGCATAAATATGCATTAAAAATCAAATCTCTTCTGATATGCTGAGAATGTCATGCATTGCAGTTCTGCAATCAGTGCTGGCAGACAAATTGCTTGTTGAAATGACTTTGCATAAGGAAAGAGATAGTCCCCACCTTGAACTGCTTCTCCAGTCGTGTTTTGCCCCCTGGGCCCGGCGTCAGGATGTTGTTGACATAACTGTGCAGCTGACTAGAGGGCACCTCTGTTTCCTTCCCAAGAATGGCTTCCATCAAGGCATCGTGGATGAAGATATACTGCTCCTAAACACACAGACACAGACAAACAGAGATGTAAAGAGACATGCTAGATGACACCAACAAACAGGACAGATTTAAACTGGTGGCTCACCTCCGTTTGGACCAGGTAGTTTCTCTGAGTGCGTATATGTTTGAGGAAACCCAGCGCATTGACTGAGCCTTTATCTTTCAGCTGTTGTAGCATGCTGTCAATCACAATATAAGTTCCTGTCCTGCCCACGCCAGCACTGAAGACGACACATTAATAACATATAAAGAAGTTTGTTTATTGCTCTCTTTAGCCATCAAAGCAGCCAGTGGAAGTGTGTGCATGTGTGTTTTTTTTACCTGCAGTGTACAAGCATGGGGCCCATCTCTGGAGTCTGTGCGGCAGAGGACCTCCTGACAAAGGTGAGCACAGGTAACGTGTATTCAGGGACACCCATATCTGGCCACTGAGTGTAGTGATACTGCAGAACTGTTCTTTCACTCTGACGTCCCTTAGTGTTACCCTTCTGACCCTGCAAACACACACACAAACAGATGAATGTTTTATAACTACATATGAGCCTTCAACATAAAAGGACAAAGAAGAACAACATAGACTCCTACTGTTGTATAAATTAAGCCAGAACAAGACACAAAACAAAAAGCAAAGCAAGAGCAAAACAAAACAAAAAACTAAGCAAAACTAAATTAAACAAAACAGCAAAACAAAACAGCAAACATATACTCCTACTGTTTTATAGATTAAGCAAGAACAAGGCACAAAAAAAACAAAGCAAAGCAAAGCAAAACAGCAAAACAAAAACAAAACAGCAAAGCAAAGCAAATCAAAGTGTAGCAAAGCAAAACAAAGCAGCAAAACAAAACAGCAAAAAGCAAAACAAAGCAGCAAAACAAAACAGCTAAACAAAGCAAAGCAAAAAAACAAAACAAACGACAGGGACTGGCTTTCTTAACCCTGTTTTTTTTTCTGAAAAAAAGTACACACTCAAATGCAATTGTATCTCATGGCGAAGAAACACAAAAACACATGAGCAATCCCCTTATCTTCACATAACCCTCACTTGGCATTCAAATTTAAAGCACAGGTTTGTGATAGTACTGTACAGAAGCATGTCAGCTTTCTTATTTTACCATACATTACCATACATGAATTTTTCATTTCTGTAAAAAAGTGGCATCTAAACTCATATCTAAGTGGCTGCTATAAAAAGACCCTTATTTCTTTGCTGCCAGTGGCCTTGGTAAGGTTCTATGTATTATGAAAGAGTTTTATGGAGAGAGCAGATCACTCTCACTGACGCTGTGAAGGCCAGGCCCTTGCATAAGCTTCTTAAGATTTTTTCCTCTGGCTTTTAATGCTCAACCCTGCCACAATCCTTCTCCCAGGTAAAGGAAAGCAGGTCAAACCATGCACAATGACTGTGTGGATTATTTTATGAAATGGGTGCCTTTTCAAGTTTGATGAGGTGATAAAATAAGTTTTTATAAAACAGTCTCAATTATAAAACCTGAATAATTAAAAAATACATCGTTTTTAAGATCTACGCTACTGACAAATAAAACAAAACATAAATGAAGAGTTTTAACAATACATATTTGTCAACTAAAATCTACATATACTACATCTAAAATTATATAGAAAAAATAAAGGTGAACTTCAAAAAAATGGTTGAAAAATAATGAAAGAAAATGTAAAAAAAAGTTATTGGATTTTTGTTAATGTGTTTCAAAAATATTCTATATTAACAAATAATAAAGGTTGGCACCCGCTATTCATTGCTAAAGTCATTTCTAACACATAAATGTTATATAATGGCACCTGTTTTGTTGAACGACCCATTTTCATTGTGTGCTAATTGGTCTAATGTGGTTGGTCATTAGTTGGCATTTTAATGCCATGCCAGCTTCCTAGGCTATTTTAATGATAGGAAAAGTGTTTGCAGAGTAATTTAATTTTCTAAGAGAACTTAAACCTGCATAATTTAACCAAATGTTAAATTATACTGAACTGATCTTTATGTTATTACTTTTTTCACAGTAGCGTTAATTTCATACAGTGTGTTGTTGTGTGTTGTAATGATGTACGTTTGGTTTAATTCAGCAGCAATAGAGAAGCAGAAGTGTAAGAGGAGAAATAAAAAAGGTGTTTACCTTCTTTACTTTGGTGTTTCTGATAGTGAAGATGCGGAGTGTGTAGCACGCCATTACTTTGGTTCTCTTCAGAGTCACCACAATATTCCCATATTCCTCGCTGTTCTCTGTCGGCCAGTACTGGTCGCATTTTCTCTGTAGGACGCACACAAAAAGAGGACAACGTTTAAAGAGGCCATAAAAAACAAACGATTATTTTATGACTCTGAAATTGTAATGGTTGTGACGTTATAACTCACTCTGCCTTTCTCCACCAGGTTAGTGATCATGACTATAATGCCGGTGTTTTGTTCCCACACCATCCGCCAGAAGTCCTCGAATGTGGACTTGAGAGGACCCTGAGCTGCGACGTAGGCCTTGGGTTTATTGTAGCCCTGTAGAGGAGAGAGATACAGAAATATACATCACATGCAGTCAAGTCATTATGTATACAGAAGTGTGTTCTGCAGTCATCACTCACATCCACATAGTTGGCATTGATGTAGTCACTGTGTTTGGAGTCTTTTCCTGCCAGAGCCCTGAGCTTCACTCGACTGTGGTCATCTGGAGGAAGAACAAGAGATAGCCAGTGAGATTCATGTCTGATATCTGAGCTACAGTTGAGTAATAACCTCTGAGACCACATGCAGATATAAAGATTTTGAAACAACGTGGAAACAAAATATTGCCTTCACTCTTCATAACCTTTTTTAAAGTCATGTTAGATAACAAGATCATCATGTTTTGAATAAACTTGAGTGCTGCTGTCATTAAAGCAAATGGGGACAAACCTAATTCTGGAAATTTGCACCAAAACAAAAAAAATCAGTAATATTGTGAACTATTTTTTATTATTACAATTTAAAATAATTGTTTTCTATTTAAAAATCCACAACTTTATTCTTCAGCGCTACACGAGCCTTCAGAAATCATTCTAATATGCTGATTTGCTGCTTTTTTTTATTATAATCAATGTTGAAAACAGTTGTGTTTCTTATTATTTTTGTAGTACACTTTTTCGTGGTTTTTTTAATGAATAAAAAGTTCAAAAGAACAGCATTTGAAATAGAAATCTTTTGTAATATTATAAATGTCTTTACTGTCACTTTTAATCAAATTAATGTATCCTTGATGAATACAATGATTAATTTCTTTCAAACAAAAAAAGGACCAACTCAAAACTTTTGAAAGGTACTGTATGTAAATGTTTAATTAAAGGGTTAGTTCACCAAAAAATGAAAATTCATGTCATTCCAAACCTGTAAGACCTTTGTTCATCTTCGCGACTCAAATTAAGATATTTTGGATGAAATCCGAGAGCTTTCTGACCCTGCATAGACAGCAAAGCAACTACCATGTTCAAGACCCAGAAAGGAAGCAAGGACATTGTTAAAATAGTCCATGAGGCCCTTTCTGGGCCTTGAACGTGGTAGTTGCTTTGTTGTCTACAGGGTCAGAAAGCTTAATCAAAAATATCTTATTTTTTGTTCCGAAGATGAACGAAGGTCTTACGGGTTTTTTACGACGACATGAGAGTGAGTAATTAATGACAGAACTTTAATTTTAGGGTGAACTATCCCTTTAAATTTTAAATGAAATCCATATACTCATATTATTTACAATTTAAAAATGATAAAAACAGAAGCATTTTCGCAAGTGGTCTCAGATTTTTGGACCACTGTGCATTTTATAAAGTGAGACTCACAGGCTATGATGTTGATGTATCTGTTTTTGTGCTTGTTGTCAGGGTGATTGGAGTGTTCAGATGTGATCTTCATATCTGCTGTGCAGCGCTGCACTTCCTACAACACACACACACACACACACACACACACACACACACACACACACACACACACACACACACAGATGAGACATTGTGAATTTCATTTTCATTTAGTGTCATACAAAAAACTTTTTCATACAGATAATACATATAATACACACTTTTTATATTAATTTTGAACAGTATATCTATTGATTTTAGAATTACTTGTTCTCTTTTTGTTTACTTTACTTGTTTTATCTATTGTTTTGCTTAATTGTAATTTAGGCTAATATTTCCTTATCTAATACATGTGACGCGCTACACCCTCTACCACACACACACACACACACACACACACACACACACACACACACACACACACACACAGATGAGACATTGTGAATTTCATTTTCATTTAGTGTCATACAAAAAACTTTTTCATACAGATAATACATATAATACACACTTTTTATATTAATTTTGAACAGTATATCTATTGATTTTAGAATTACTTGTTCTCTTTTTGTTTACTTTACTTGTTTTATCTATTGTTTTGCTTAATTGTAATTTAGGCTAATATTTCCTTATCTAATACATGTGACATACAGTATTATACACAACTGCTGTGCATTACCACAAACACTGTTTTTAATTTGCATGTAAGCATGTACAGCGGGTTCAGTAAAGCTAACATCCTGAGACTGTTAACAGATCTCTCAATAAACACACGAGCGCTTGACACATTCTATTAACAGCATGCAACAAAGATGTTGAGATGTTTAAGTGATGTACCAGAACATAAGAATTGGCTGTGTGCGCATTAGCTGATTGTGTGTTTTGAGAGTGTGCGGACAAGCTTGTTTAAAGGGGTCATATGATGCAATTTCGAATGTTCCTTTCTCTTTGGAGTGTTACAAGCAGTTCGTGCATAGATAAGATCCCTGAAGTTGCAAAGACTAAAGTCTCAAACCCAAAGAGATATTCTTTATAAAAGTTAAGACTCGTCCACGCCCTCCAAAAACGCCTCGTTCAAACACACCCCCACATGTCTATGTCACGATGTGGGAAGATTTGCATAACGCCGCCCAAATGTTCACGCAAAGAAATAAGGCGTAACTCCTATTCTCGCTGTAGTATTGTTGCTGCCGCCATGTCGTGAAGGCGCTGTGTGTTTCGTTGTGAAAGCGAAACTACTTTGTTTGGCCTTCCAAAAGAGGACGATATCTGCTTCGTCATGCCTGGAGCTGATCCGTGCTGGTTGCTGAGGAAATACTACAACTTCGCTCTGTGGATCGCCGGATCGGCTTTCACCGTGGACGAAGCGGAGTCCAGCCCGGAGTCGTCACATGTGGTTTCCGCAAACCCGCCGGACGCTCCTTCGTCGAATCCGCCTGCCGCGCCGTTCTCAAGCCCACCGGCCTCCGCTCATTGTACACGGCATCACAATATGGTAGGGACGTAACATTTCCATCACATGCTTGAGGTATTCGGCCAATCACAATGCACTGGATAGCTGGCCAATCAGAGCACACCTCGCTTTTCAGACCGATGAGCTTTGTAAAAATCGACACGTTTCAGAAAGGCGGAGCATAGAGGAGAAACAATAATGTACAGTATGTGGAAAATAATGTGTTTTTTTAACCTTAAACCGCATAAACACATTGCATTACACCAAATTCACAACATAATGTTCTTTTTAGCAGCATCATATGACCCCTTTAAAACCACAAGATGTTTGAAAATCTGCCAGGGGCTGTTTTCAATAAGTCTCTCATCCACACACACGCACCTGTGTGGTTTCTGGTTTCCTGCACCTGAAATAACCTCACCAGCATTCTGAGAAGACCAAAGATGATACTTCACAGAACATCACAGGGTAAGTCAACATTTATGAGAGGACAGTCCATGACTGTCAATTCTATTCATGTGCGACCTGTGATATCATGTATGATGCTGGTTGTATTACATTGAACACTTATAAAGAGTTTTTCATGACATTTAGCAACCCATTTTCCTTCCTTGAGTTAAAAAGTGTATTGAAAAAAAAGAGTTGCATTAGGAATTGTGAATGCAACTTTGCAGTTGATTGTGAAAAAGAACAGAGTATAAATGGATCAAGCGGATGAGCAGGATGTGGAGGCTAAAAGTCAAGTGCACCCTTGAGAGCATCTTGACGTATGTTTCTCTTTAACTAAAGGAACATGATGTTAAGACGTTTTTGTTTACTGTACTGACCAAATGGGGAGAGAAGCATGTTCCTGTTAAACTGTACAATTCAGTGTCACAGAATGCACGCAATGTTATCTTGTACATACATTTTTATTCATTTCTTCTACAAATCTATAAATACAATGTCATATTTTAAAAGCCCTAGATTAAGTTAAAGTGATTGTTATTTGGAATAATTTACTTGGTTGTGAAAAGTAAAATCTGGGTTATTGTGGTAGAGCGATATAGACATGCTCTAGGAAATCTTACATAATTCAATCTTACATACTGTATTAACTTAATCCTCCATATGATGGTCGATTGTGCTTGGCTTATTTTTATTAGTTACACTGTAAAAAAATGTCCACCTATTTCAACTTAAGTTTAAGCCTTCAATTGAAATTCAATCAAATCAGTATAAGGTATATATAAGGTATACTCAAAACAGTAGTACAGTCATTTCTACTTACATTTTTCAATTTTTCAACTTATTAGGGGAAAATGCTGCAAACATAAACAGAACATTCCCATTTATGCAAAGAAAACTTTTATGGTTAACAAAACAAACAAACAAGTATGGTTGGCTAATGTTTTGAGAATGTTCTTAGAACCAAACATTGCTAGTTGTTTGCTCTAATGTTGCAAACTTTATTCCACTATTTCTGCAGTGAAAAGTTTATCCCCTGTTGGAAAAAGCAATGTTATGGATAGAAGACTCGAGACACTTGACTCCTGCTCATTGACTGGAGTGTTGTGGATTACTGTGATATTTTTATCAGCTGTTTGGACTCTCATTCTGACGGCACCCATTCACTGCAGAGGATCCGTGATGAGCAAGTGATGGAATGATATACATTTCTACAAATCTGTTCTGATGGAAAAAACAAACTAATCTACATCTCAAGAGGGTGAGTAAATATTTAGCAAATTTTCATTTTTGGGTGAACTATTTCTTTAAAAAGACTTATAGGAAAAAAGTAAATAAACCTGTCGTCCACTATTTTTCTCAGACCCTGATTTGTCTTCCTCTCTGGTGTTCTCCATTCACGCTTCTCTTGCTTTCAGCTGAATGGCAAACTTCTCCAAGTGTCCTCTTCTTTTTTTCCCTTTCAGTTGCTTTTCTTTATTCCCCCCTAAAAAACTCATTCCCGGGGCGCACATAATCCCTGTGCCTGTCCAGGCCTAGCCAACAGCCTTCCTCTTCTCGCTGGCTCCCATGATCGCTGCCACCCCAGCCACTGCTTTGTTTTTCGGCCCAGGCTGCACAAAGCCACTTGTCAGGGGCCTGGAGGGCTCTGTCCAAAAGGGGTTTGGCTCGGCTATCTTCCCTCTTTTTCTCTGCTCAAGTAGTGGAGGCGAGAGTGAAGGGATAGGAACCACAGAGGAATCCATTGAAGGGAAACAGCACCAGAAGCCCCCCTTGGAACCACTTCCCAATGTCCATCAAGACACACACACTTTCAGAGGCACTTCCCTGTGCCAATCAAGTCACTGTGGAACAAAGAGGCCAAGGGAGGCCCTCCGAAGAACCTTAGTGACCCACACACCCCTTCTATCCTCCTCTCATTCTCTCCTCTGAAGGAGGGAAAGTAGGAGACCTACTTTGAAACGAAATTTACATTTTTTTCCTTTGCATCATGACATGCACAAAAGATATGGGCTACATTCAAAATGTATTTGCAGCAAAAAAAAAATCAATGCTGTCATTAGAAACTTTGCCTCTATTTTTTTTCCAAACTTTACACACAAATCCAATAATTGCACACACAAAATGCAAAATGCATCTCTTGCAAAATGAAGCACCGCATTCAAAACATCACAAACACATCTCAAAAGCAAACATTTGTAAACACCTTTGCCATTTTAATACCTGTCAGATTTTTGTGTGTTACATAGCGAATTGTGTGTTGTGTTTTGCAAAAAGTGTTTTATGAAATTGAAATCTGAGTCAAAGGGTGAGAATTAGCATATGGTTCTGCAGATTTGGTGTGTGGTTCTGGTGTTTGAGTGTCAGGTTTCAGAAATCATGTGACAAGTAAAGATTTTGTGTGTAAGAAAAAACTGTAATTAAATATACTTGTAAAATAGTATTTCTGGTGAAAGTTTTCAAAAATTAAAAAGATTTTAAAAAGAAGATGGTGTAACAAATAATCTAAATAAATGAATGACTATTCAAGCGAACTGACCCAAAATGAGGAGCTCAGAATGAATGAATCAAAAATATAAATTTCTATGATATTTTTACTTTTACTTTATATTTATTTATTAAATTAATATTATTAAATTATATTATATTTTATTAATTATTATATTATATTATTAATACATTTACCATACCTACCATTACATGCTGTTGTATATTAATTTAATTAATTTTAATTTATTCACGTAAACTCCCAAAATGAGTCTTTGAATATACAATGGTTTTCATTTTTATTGTTTTTATTATAAGATTAATTTATTTGTAATAAGATACTGCTCCATGTTGTCTACATATTTATCAACAATGGCTTGAAAAACTATTTGAACTAAAAACTACTTGGAATTAGCAGGGCCTGCATAAAATAAAATTTTATAAATATAAGATTTTACAAATAAATTTTTTTTGCCCCATATAATATATAATTTTGACCCTTGTTCAATTTTTATTTGCGTAAAATAAAATGTAAAAGGCAACAAATCAGGCAAATAAAAAAGGAAATAAATAAATATATAAAGGGTAATATTGTTTAGTGATCCCTCATTTCGCTCGAAAATCGAAGAAAAAATTCTGTAATGTCTGTAGGTCTGAACATTTCAGAACCCTGTTCCACAGAGGACACATACAGTG